CCTTGCTCTCCGTCCATGACAACCAAGTTGCGGGCTGTCACCTTGCTTCCTGAGACGAGCAACCTGTGGACGTTCACAAATCGACCGTCCACTTTCCTTCCATAGCCTTCTTCAGTGAGGCCACGGATCGTTCCACCGCCTTCGTCCATGATGAGCTCGCCCGAAGCGGTCTTGTAGCTGGCGTCGTTGGGATCTCCAGATTCCACCCCCAACAGGCTCTTCAACTCTGTCGGGATCGCAGTGACGGCTGCACCTGTGTCCAAGTTTGCGGTTACCTTGACCCAACCGCTTTCGTCGACCGACAGCTCGTTCACCGCGAACGAATTGATCTCTCCACGGGTCAGCTTGACGTTATCCAGGTCCTTCTGCACCTCGTCATGGCGGCTCTGCAGGAAGTAGCGCTCGCGATCGATCTCAGAGTGGGCCATCTTGCACTTCACTCCTTTGCCACAGTGTGACCTGCGGAAATCGAAGCATCGCATCTTGTCGTGCGGGTGCTTCAGGTAGAACTTCTCCTCCTCTTCCTTGCGCTTGCGTGCCCTTGCCTTTCGAACACGTTTCTTCCTGGATTCCTTCTTCTCCTTGCTCATGGGTCGATCTCGTCGGCGAAGAACATCTGTCCTCTTCCGGCCCATCACTCGCATCTCGTCGTCTTTGGTCTCCACGGCGAACTTGGCTACTTCTTCCTGGCTGAGCTTCCGGTACGTCCGTGCAGACTTGAAGAATCGGGAGAACTGATGCTTCTTGAGCTTTCCTCGAGCCACGCGTTTTGCTTGGCCCGTGAAAACACGCACCGTTCCGTCATCCATCTCCTGCACGGCTTCGGTCTCAATCGTGTTGTCTTCTTCCTTGTCGAATTCCTCCTCCTTCACAGGCTTTGAGTCGAACTCTTCATGCCATTCCTTGTCCATCCTGATTCTCTCGGCTGCACAGTCGGCAACTCCTTGTTGGCGATGTAGAGTCGCCGTCCTCCTCTTGCGTTCTTGACTCCACGCCAACGAATGGCTTGCACCGGCCTTGACAGCTTGAAAATACCGCGAATCGTGCCAACTTTGGTCGTTCAGGTTCTCCGCGGTGAGCTTAGGCGCTGCCTTGGCTTTCGCTTTGGTAACCTGGTCATCTCGGTGAATCTTCTCTTTCAACTTGTCCTTCTTGGCCTTCAACACCATGACTTCGGTTTCCAACTTTTGAACCTCTTCTTTCGTTTCGCATTCTTCGCATGCTGCCATCTTCTCGCGAATCGCAGCGTCGATGTTCGCCACTTCCATCTGTTCGATGGTTCGGTGCAAAACTGTCCCGGAGGATGACCCTGCGGGTCTTGATGGGAACTCGGCCGAACCAAAGGCTCGACTCATCTCCTCCATCACTCTGGGCTTCACCTCCGTCTCCACACGACCTGCTGAGCTCGAAGCTTGTTCATTGGATCCGGATGCAGGACCGGCCTGACCAACGGTCTGACTCGTCCCGCCATCCTTGGATCCCGGGGGGCTGGCCTGGACCAGAGGTCCGACTCTCCCCAACGATCGCGTCTGTCAACTTCTCGAAGTACAGCAAGCGAAGTTCCTGCCTGTGCTTTTCGACTTGCTGCAATGTCTCCTTGTTCATCTTCCGCAAGCTCTCATCAGGGTTGACCTTCTTCCGCAATTTCTCCTTCACATCGTCCTTATAAGCCTGGAAGGTCTTCAGTGAGATTCCCCTCATGAGACAAATCGTTTTGTCCACGATGTACTCGAAGTCATCCGGCTTCGTCATTTTGAGTGCAGCTCGAATGGACTTCAGGTCCTCGTTCTCCAGGACAAGTTGCAAATGTGTTCAACATGTCCTCCTTCGTCCAGTCCGCAATTCTGGCAGAAGCAATAGTCGCAAGGGTTCATGCATCGATCTGCATCCTCCAGCTCTTGCTTGATCTCCGGGTCGATCTCGATCTCCACTTCGAGTCCCGCGAGGCTGAAACATCCTGTATCCATCGGCTCTGCATGCGGCTCTGCGGGGAACTCCTCCAGGTTGGACACGTGCTTGCCGCCTTTGCCCTTCGACTTAGAATTGGACTTCCCGCCTTTCGGCTTCTGGTTCGCATTCGCTGCACCGCCGCCGGCGCTCCAGCAATCTCGAGCAAAATGCCCCGTCTTGCCACAGTTGTGGCAAGTCTTCGAACTTTGCGAACCTGAGCCTTTGGCCTGGGATCCTTGTCCTTTTCCGCTGCTTTGCCACTTTCCGATGCCCTTCGAGTCGCCCTTCTTCGTCTTGCCGTCTTTTCCTTTGCCTTTGCCTTTCTTGTTCTTCCCTTTGCCTTTCTTCTCAAAGGCTCCAACATCCATGGGTTGTGGATCTTGCCCTCCGGGAGGTTGGCTTGCATCGGTCATTCGAAACTTGGCCCCGAGCCTTGCCTCGATGTACAGCACGATCTCGTTGCGCACGTCCAGGTACGATGTGAATCTTGAGCGATTCAACTGCAAATGCTTTTCCAATTCGCCGGGGCACAAGTGTTCCAGCACCGACATGCGGATCTCCTCGTCGAGCTGATGCCGTGTTCCGTCCGGTCTCTTCTTGTGCTCGTACTGCCTTACCATTTCCTCCCAAGATTCGATGGAGTTCGACAGGTCTTCGAGCTTGCTCGCCTTGCTTGGGTTGAGAATGGCTCTCAACATCGCTCGTCTTCGGTTCCCGGTAGCCGGGTCAAATCTTCGTACCAGGCGTCGCCACGACTCCAGACCATTGTGCTTCCCAGAGCTCCGTACTATCTGGAAAGCTTCACGTTCACATAACGTCTGCAGCACCGCAAACAGCTGCGAGTTCATGCTGTCAACGTCCACGACTTCGCGTTCACTGGGGTTCAACGGGCCCCAAGCGGCTTTGATGTCAGCCGACATGATCTCATGGTCCATCTCCTCGGCCCACAGCATGATGTCCTCCAGATCCGGATGGATCGAGGTTCTAGTCGAGTGCGCCAGTTCAAAAATCCTTCCTCCTTTCCGTCGAATTTGTCCGGTTTCGCTAGTCCACGATTGTCGACCAAGCTCATAGTCTTCTTGGCGTCCTTCGGCACCTTGATGTTTTCAATGAGGTCCTGCTGCGACTGCGCCAAGGCCGTGAACGCTTGCCTCATACCTTCGAAGTGTCCTCCTGGATCGCTTCCTTGTGCCTGCTGAGCGTGAACTAGCATCTCAACTTGCCCTTGTAGTCGTGCTTCGCGCTGCTGTCCCTGGGTGACCTCCTGCCTCAGCTGTCGTACCACGTCGATCAGCTCCTGTGCACTCATCCCTCCAACCGTGGCCATCGCTTCCGGTCGTTCAGGAAGTGGCCCAAATGCCCCCAAACTCGTCGGAGGGAGCGGATCCTAAAGATCTTGCGCACCAGGCGCCGCCAGCGATCAACTCGTCGCTGCTGGAGTGCCCTTTGGTTCCACCTCCAGCGTGCGCCCACCGAAGCGGCGGACAGCACGCCGATGGAGGCGACAATCTCGGGCAGGTAAAGGCCAATCAGGTGGATCAAAAGCGCGGCCAACGTAACCAAGAGCTCCGCTACCATGAAAATGTATATGGACGCTCAAAGCTCGGCCGCTCGCGCTTATTTCCCTTGAGCCAAAAGTCGGGGTACGTGTATAGTATGTACATACCCTACATCCAAACAGGAAATCAGAATGTGTATATACATACTCCCTGAATTCAGTCCTGAATTCAAGAAGTGCTGGACTCGGCATGCTCATTGCACCCCCAAATCTCCAAGAATGCCCGCTGTACAAACATACGGGTGTTGCACGGTGTTGCGAAACGTCTGTCATACCCATGCAACTCAAGTGTGACCCCTCAAAGTGAGCGAACCACGATCAACCTATCCTTACGCATCTGCACAACTAGACTTGCACCATCCAAGCCAACATCAAATCGTGAGGCCGCCCTTTCCTTATCAATGGTTGTCTCAATGTGCGTGATTCAGTTTTGCCCACGAAAACAAAACTAGGAGCAAGGATGCTACATGACGCTACTAGGAGCAAAGGGCATCGCTACTAGGAGCAAGGTACTAGGGGCTCCTGGCCTTACTACTAAGGAACAAGAAGCTACCAGTATATACAGTACACAATTCCTCCCACTCTCATGTCTTCCCCGTCTCGCTTCACTCGCTTCTCTCGCCACGCGACGGCGCGGCGGGCAAGGGCGTCTCAGGCGCCACGGCGATTTCCGTCACCGGTTTCAATGCGTCCCCCACGGGGAAGCGTCCCAGGCCTCCAACTCTGCGGGCCATGGCCATATTGTGGCCATGGTGGGTGATGTAAGGCCAGTAGGAGTAGGAGTTATATCCAATCAATAAATATGTCCAATTGAGGTGATTCAAAGCTGTGCCTCCCTTATCATATTTGCTTCTGATGTCATTGTATATCTTAGGACAGCCAACAACTCACACCCCCTTCTTGCCAATTCATACTCCCACTCCTGATGGTGAATTGGCCACATAGACCCGGTAGAGCTTCACGCGTTCGTCCACCAGTGGCGCAGACCAAGAGATGTTGCCACCAATCTCCAAGGGGTCCAAATCCTGGGTGCTTTGCCCAGGCACGTCCAGGCATCTTCGATGGGTTTGTATCATACGACACTCCAATAAATACAAAAGGCGAAAATGGGTTCTTGGAAAGAATTCCACCAGCAACAGCACGAGACTTGCCTTGTCATGTCGTTTCATCGCTTACACAAGGAGCCCAAAGGAGCCTGTGTTGCTCAGCATTTGCAAACATTGTTGCCCCATATTTATTACTGAAGAGAACTTCTTCAGCACACTCGTCTGGGGCAAGGACTCTGAACTTGTTTATTAACATTTGAGCGTTTTGGAAGGGTACGAGGTTTTGTGAATCAAGGTGCTCTGTCTTCGAATTGGAGGTCGGATACGCTCGCAACAGCATCGAAGATCAGCAATGCCACTGGTGTAGTCTGCCTGGGCTTCCACTGGTCGGTGTATACTACTATTTTGCTTTTCTTGAAGACTATTTCACACTATATGTGCGATGGCATTTATTTGGTACTTCGCTCAAACACACTATCTCTTATGTGGGGGCCCTATCTCATTTAGACTACTTAAGCAGGAGGTCATGTCACAGTATCTCGTTCAGACTACTTTAGTAGCAAATCACATTATCTCGTTCAGACTCCTCTAGTGACATCAAGCAAAAGTATATCGTTTATGTGAGGGCCCTATCTCGTTCACAAGCGAATACTGATGATAGACAAGCAAATGGTTGTCAATATTTAAAATATACTAAAATAGTATACAATAGCCTTCAAAATGTTTCGCTCTTGGCACGAACCCTTCTGCAGACCAGTTGCTCAGCCAAAGCGGACGCAGTGTAAATGAGGAAGTGTGTGTAGTTCAAAAGAGGCGTTTCAGCCAAGACGCTGATATTGTGCACCTGAGAATGGCTGAAACTATGGCTTATTGGGACATGTGCCTGTGTCTTGAGGATGCTCTTGGTCTCTTTCTCCATGACTGTCTCAAACTCTCAGCATGTCATTTCCGACAAGGCACACCTTTTGGAACAACACCGAGGGAGGATCTTCCTCTGCCTGTACTGTTCTCCGCCATGTAGATGTGATATTGCAACCTGAGAATTCTCGTGCGTTCAGTCTGAGAAAGCAGCCTTGGCGAAAATCCACCGAGTAATCCCGTAATTCTGCCGGGCCAATCCACATTCTCCTATAGTTCATGTATACACTCTCAGTGCGAAGAGTTTTCACATGTTCGAGCGACACAAAATAATCATCATCAGGTGCTTCCCATAGAAGGTCACCATAGAGATCGCCCTCATCAAGGTCGTAATCGAAGAAGGACAAGTTCCTGATGAAAACAGAACGCGTTCGACGCCTAGGAAATTTGGTTTTAAGATCTTGGACTCCTCTGCCTTAGTACTTCTTAGAAAATCCCAGAAGAACAAACGTGCGTTTTCTCTATGAGGATGCTTTCTTGCCTCATCTTGCCTCTGCACTAGTGAGACGTCCAAAAGCTATGGAACGGGCAAAATCAGCAAAGGGGTGGTTGTATAAGTCTTCTGGACATCTCTGATAGAATCTGATAGAAAGAACGTCGGACGGACTAAAACTCCCAGAAGGTTTCTTTCAGGAGAATGCTGATGGCAAGAATATCGATGCCAAAAAAGGCTCGGCAAAAAAAGCAAACACGTATCAACAGCAGGGTCAAGGCTCTGAGTGGGCGAAGATTTGTCCACAAAGTGTAGACCCACTGGCGTGGTTTGCTCAACAAGGCTGGACCTGCAGGCACCGTTTGCGAAAAATTGCGCTTTACAAGTAGGTCAGTAGGTCGCTTTAGCAACTCCAACCTAATAGCAATGGCCTCCAACAACCTAATAGCGATGGCCTCCACCTGCTAGCGATGGCCTCCAACCTTGCGTAAAACAGGCGCTTTAGATCGCTTTAGTACTAGCCAATCATTAATGACATGTTTCACCCTCATAGTGCCCGCAAGCCCACGTTGTCGCAGGCGATTTAGTGTGTATATATATAAATAACTAATTAGAGCGTACCATGGTGCTCCATGAAAGGTCATCGAGCTGTGTGAGGGCCCGACTGTGTGTAGACCACAAAACGGGTGAAGTGCAAGGGCTCTGTCTCTGCAGGTGCTAAGATCTCGTTGGTGCCCACCGGCACAAAGCCTGCGCACGCACGTGACATCTAAGTCATCTGAGCATCATAGACTGCGTGGTAGACCCCAAGTATGCTCAAAGGACAAAGGTCTCCCACTCTCAAGTGACTCAAACGCTAGGAAGACTACTAGGGGCTCCTGGCATCGCTACTAGGAGCAAGGACGCTACTAGGGGCTCCTGGCCTCACTACTAGGAGCAAGAAGCTACACTTCCAGGATCGCCTATCTGTGACCTCTCTGCCGAAGTTGGAGCCAAGGTCTCCGTGGCCAGGTCCACGTGGTAGAAAGTGACTCGCTGCAGGGACACGGGCGGAGTCCATGCGATGAAGCCACCCAGGTCGACCGGATCTAAATCCTCGTCGATAAACCTGTCGCAGGCACTCTGTTGCAAACGCACTGTGAACATGCAACACACCTGGAGTGGAAGAACAATGAAGAACACTATGTTTGGGAAGATGGGAATATATCGGGAGCTGCCATCAAAACTTCTAGAAAGCATCCACATAATAGCTCACAGAGATTGCCCAAAACCGCCGAACAAAGATACGAATGTCCAAACATGCCAAAAGCACTTTTCCAGGAGATTCCAGGATCTATGGTTTATAGTCTATATATAGATGTCTATAGATCCCCTGGTGCGACTACACTGCCTGGCCTGATATCTGAGACGCTTGCATTTTCATCAAAGATTTTTAAGGCCATCGGGGTGCTTTGCTCCACCAGGGAGCTCAAGGTGTAGATCGCCACGTGGGTAAAGGGGTGAACACCTGGGAAGTCTCTCAGACACCAGCTGCAAAGGCTGCAAAAGAGCTTCGAAAGGCCAAGGGCTTTGCAGTTGGGCCTTGTGAACTAGACTGAACTGCAATGACATGCTAATGACATGCTAATGACAATGATAACCGATGTTGAAATGCTGGATCCAGCGCAACCTCGTTTCTTCTCCATCGATTCCGTGATCGTATTCGGCAAGGCACCGGTGTCTGGCTCCACAAAAAGGCTGTGCACCCCAACTGTTGTGTTGCCCAGATAAGATAAGAGGCACCAGTCCTTGACCATATGTTGCACTGTCAGCAATGTCTAAACTTAGATTAATTTGGTTCGTCCTTCATCATGTCGTTGTCATTATGTAGAGTCTAAATTTTCTGAGTGGGGGTCCTTGTCTTAGAGACAAGGACAAAGCAAACCTCTTGGGGCACCGCTTGTTTCCAATTGCTTCACAGCTTGAAGCAATGCGCAAGTGGTCAAAATCATGTGGGGCAAGTCTCCGATGTCATGAAGAGGTCACTTTCGCTCTCCCATTGGTAGCTCGTGTTGGAACAACCACTTGAGGTATTGGCCTCCAATTGGCAAAACGAAAGCAACGCAAACAGAGTCAAATCTTGATGGAGTATTTTGCGAAGCCTCTATCATGCTCTATCTATCTCGTCTTTGACCCGAATCATTTGCAAACTGTGTGCCTGGGCCAAATACACCACATAGTTTTCCACCTGGGTGGTGTCATTTGGTGCAACCCAGGTCAAAGTTCCTCCCAAGTCCTGCCAGGGCAGCGAGCTTGACAAAGACTTTCATTGGGGCTGCGCATTCACTAGGATTTCAAAGTCTCACAGCAATATAATGTTGCCCTGCTCAGCAATATTTGAAGCAGAACATGTACAGTAGCACATCATACTGTCATACTACAGCATGTTCCAACTCTCGCCATACTCACCCCACACTTCACAATCCACTCCTCCAAATCAAGATCCATGTCTGGGAATTGGATGTCTGTGACGAGCGAGACCTCTCGTCCAAGGAAGCTCTGGACGAAGAACACAGTATACGCATCCCTATTCCAGCTTTATGCAGCCTCTGATGTTGGACCGGAGGGAATCTGTTTGGCTTTGACATATCCAGGGGTGTGTGCCTTCATATGAATATGTAAAGCTGAACGCAAAAAAAAAACAAAAAAACTGTATAACAGAAGAACTTCGCCCTCCTCACCTTGTCCTCAAAGAGCAAAGCAACTGGAGTGGTTTGCTCGGCCAACCAGGACTTGGTGTAAACGACAAAGTGGCTGAAGGACTCCTGATGGATGCCCAAGGGCATCAGGGTATCATCAGGTTGATGTTATGATAGTTTCTTGATTATTGTTCCTAGTAGTAAGGATGCTCCTAGTAGCGATGCCAGGAGCCCCTAGTAGCGTCCTTGCTCCTAGTAGTACGGCCAGGAGCCCCTAGTAGCTTCTTGTCATCTTAAGATTGATGATCGTACGTAGTGTGTAATTAGAAGGTGTGGCGGGATCGCTCATGAATGTTCATGTCAGTCTCATTGCTTTGGCAGCTGCAGGGCCCACAACATTCAATTGGAGGTTGGCATGGCACGGCACTGCATGAACAAGGCCCAGCAACCAAAAATGATCCGAACAATCCCGAACATGTTTTGGTCCAGCAGGACTGCCACCTAACAAGGAACCTAAAGCACCTTGCGCTCCTTGGCAGTTTCCGGAGGCCACAGCACCTCTGAGATGTTCGCCCCAATGCTGCCGCTGGGCCAGTGCACGCGGTTCGTGCCGATGTCATCGGTTGCAAGGTAGAGCCTGCATGACCGCTTGCGGCAATTGGCCGACGGCGCAGCACTGACGCAAGTGTCGCATGTGATGCTCTACATGTGATGCTCTATAGTTTGTTCCAGTGTTGTGTTGAAGTGATGAGGGATCCCTTTGACAATCTGCAGCACCAACACACACACTCACAAAGAAGTGTTCAAGTTCAATCTATATCAATCTGGCCAAGGAGCTCATAGTATTCCACTCTGCTATGGCTCACAGGATGAGACCAGGTCACATATCCACCAATTTCATCCCAATCCAAGTCCTAGTTCTTTTGTACTGCTCTCACACAGCTTGATGTTCAGTCTTCAGCATTCTTCCCTTTAAGATTGACCCGCTTCTCAACTGGACATCGCAAAAGGAGATTCTCCGCGCGCAGTCCTTGTCAATGAACCTGATGTTTGAAACGCTGGATATGGTGTCTATGATCTCCACCTCACAAGTTCCAAAGCACATGTACATATATACATGGACCTTTTCAAACACTGGATAGCACATGGAGATCATGAAGGTATACCCTTTTGCCACGCACGTCCCAATCACCGAAGCGGCAGCCCTGGCTGAGAAGTCTCCAAATCTGAGTCCCTCACCGATCTCGGGGTCGTTTGCTCAGCCAAAGAGGACCGGGCAAAGACGGTCAGGTACCTCTAGGGTCTGGCACTTGCATGACAAAAGGCCGTTAAAAGACTTTCAAGGCTGAATGTGTGTCCAAAAGCCAGCTTGTTGAAGGCAACACAAATCAACAAGTCTCTATAGACTTTAGATGACTTTAGACTCTCATGTCTAGCGTGAAAAAAAGCACATAGTGAACACTTCAAGGCACATTCCACAAAAACCACCCAAACACGATCCAACAAAGTAAATGATATCCTGGGAACGACACTGCTGTCTTACTCTCAAGAATATCAAGACTGTTGCTCATAAAGCCAGCAATGCGTTGGCCTGTAGCTGGACAAAGCGGTATCGGCGGGAATCAGGAACTCATGGGTGCCAACCTCGCATTACGACATTACGACATCTGAATGTCAAGTAAATGTGGAAGAATGTCAGAGCAGTGAGCAGTGTTCGTTGCGAAGCACTGCATCCTATGATGTTCTAAGTCTCTATTCATTCACATGTGATGATTTCGGCATACCATGGCAAAGCACCCCTGCAGTTTGTTCAATTTCCGCAAGCCTTTAGTTGACAGCATCGACTCTTTCTGTCACGCATCAAGCACAAAAGCAACAGTGAGACCCCCCCTTGCAAGAAGGACAAATTAAGTTCGTCATGCAAAGGCAAAGGATACCCTAAGTATCCCTAAATACACCAATCAACGTATCAACGTACCAGGCGTATCCAGGCGTAACATGTTTGCTTTGTTTGCTTCGATTGCAATATGTTTGCTGACTGTGCAGGTCCGCCAAGTAGCAGAGACATTGCCCAAGAGACTGCGGTTGGCTCCGTCCTCGTCGTCTGCCAGGTAGATGAGGTAGTGTGTCACCTCAAGGCTCTCCATAAATTTTGCGCTAACGAGGTGCACAGTCCGCACACAGTCCGTTCTGCCACAATGTCAAATTTTGATCCCCCATTGCTTAGCTTACTTTAAGCCTTAAGCCTGCCTGCTACTGCCGTGGATTCAGCACTCATCAAGTGACCCCAGTGGTCAAACCGAACGATTCATCACATGTGGCCTCACTGCTGTCCTCGGGCACTCGCCAAATGAGATACCCACCTGGTCCGAGTCCCGGGGGCGTGGGCGGCGTGGTCCGAACTCTAACAGGTCGCACCAGGAAAAATGGCAGGTGAACCGGAACAAAGAGCTCCCAAAGGTCAAGCCATTGCTTTTGAGTGTCAATGATTTGATGTACCTATTCCATCCTATTCCACATTCCACCGGTTCCCCCTTAATGGTGCCTAGTTCTCCTTCATCAAGATCATCATCAATGAAGCTCACGTTGCGGGCATAGGAGACTTCATCCTCCAAAGAACTACTTGTTCAAGCTGTTACCAGATCGCTGCGAGTGATTGCCATTGTAGTTTGCAATCAGCCACGGATTCTGAACTGAACCCTCGTACAAAACAGTTATGATCAGAGCAGTGTTCAAAAGGTAGGATTACAAAGGGTCCAGTGCATTTGTTGCAGTCACAGGCAACAGCTGTCCGACAAGTCCGACAAGCCAACCTCAATGGACAAGAAGGAAGGTGTCGTCTGCTCGGCTAGGCTGGACCTACAGGGACAAAATGGGTATGCAAAATGTCAGTGCCTCAAGACCAAAAGAGAAGAAGGCCCTTATTTACAAGGCTCCTATTTCATCGGGTCCAAGCACCATCACCTTCAGATTTCTTCTCTTCAATTTGTCAGCCGCTCCATCCACATGGTTTGCTTGTCAGCAAATCACGACCTCTCTGATGCGTCATTGTTTGTTTGAGATCTGGAAGTGACGACCAGGTCAAGTGAAACTAATCACAACCACCCAGCCCTCCTCCGCTCTGCTCTCACTCGCCCGGCCTTGTGAACACCTTGGTGTGCTAAACAGGGCGTGAACACCAATGTCACGAAACGAATCTGACTTGGCAGGGTTACTCGGTTACTCTGAGTGTCTGATGCCTCGTTTAGGACAAGTGGCTGTGATGTAGTCGTAGGACCCACGTGGTTGCTCCTGAGTTGCAAAAAAAAAACAGCTTGGCTCTATTCTCATCATGCTCCAACCACAAAGGACCGCACCATGTCCACGGTTGAATAAAAGCACTGCACAGGGAAAGGTGGGAAGGTTAGGCTTGTCCCAGCACTCAAAATTAACATGGCATGTATGGATAGCCAAGCAGCAGGTGACAGGCTGACATCGTTGCTTCCGGCCGGAACGTCAGTTCCAACCTGCGAGGTCCGAAGCTGAAATGACATAAGACACGGTACAGTGCATCACGTTGGCTCAGCACAGTTTACAGTCAAGACCGTTCAAAATCAATATCATTCACTATGATTCAATGACAACAAACAATGCACACGTGTTGAATATGCGCACAAAATGTCAAACCACCTAGGCCTCTTGTGCTGACTTTGAACAAGGAACCTCTTTAACTTGTGAGCACCATGTCCAACGATAACTCTGGTGCTCTGCCCTTGCCTGAGATCGGCCAAATCCATCGAAGCCAACGGAGAGGTAAACTCGATAGCCTGAAAACCAAAAGACGAGGGTGGCTCGGGCCACGAAACGCGGCTTAGGAGGGCACGTCGTGACAGAAAGTATCGGCTCACCGAGGTCAACTGGACAAAATATACATCACAGGCCATCCTTGCAGTGTTGATCGACGACTCTAGCAACCCATAGTATCAGCCTTCAACTCTTTCCATCAAGGAAGGCTCAGCCCAGGCAATCTGTCCACCCAATTCGTGGAAATCCAAATCCTGACCGAAGCAGGTTGGGGGTAAGTTCTGCGCTCTACACTGCTGGCAAGGCAAGAATAACCACTTGCTGGCAGCTAGCATTTGCATGCAACATATTGGATGAGATATCATATCCATTTATCCTATCTAATGTTGAACGTTATTGTTGCACAAACAAGGTTTGAATCGCAGTTAGTCCTTGCCCTGGTACGTGATGTTGGTCACACTCGCAGCATAGTCATAAATTGCATGTGAGACCTCAGAAAGGGCTGTCAATCTCGATGTGGTTCAACCAATGGATAGAAACCTGTGATTCTCCCGAGAAAGCAACTGCGTTTGCTAACCATATTGTCATGGGCACATCCAGACTGTCATGCAATCCTGGCATAAAAAGCCATTTAAGAAACCGGGCCATTCAAGATATTTCAGGGGCTTCTCTCAGATTTCAGCAAGTCAATGGTCCAAACACGCGCAATTCAACGACTTTGGTTCTTGACCTCTCTAGAGAAAAGTTTCTCATTCTTTGTGCAGCTAGGAATCTGGTGTTGTTTGCTCCACCAATGAAGATGAGGTGTATATCACAAAGTGAGTGTACCTGTCGTCTGAATAGTGTTTGACTATCAAAGAGGACTTATATACCTATCTTACTTGATGGGTTGGCATTCTCCAGCCCAAAGAACTGCTAAACATGATATACGGTTACTACAATAAAATATGCGGATTTTAAAATAGCCGAACAGGTATTTTAGTGTACCTCCGTGCAGGATCTGCTGGGGCCGCCCAGCCATTAAAACATGCGGAAAAGACATGCGGAAAGGCATTTCTTGAATCATTTCACCAATTCGGACTAGAGTCAAGCTCAACAGAATCTTCTCTTGGCTGTGAAATCCCCGTTGATATTTAGGGTGAGGGGTCGGGGTCCCTATTTGGTAGTAAAAATCACTACAAAATGTCAGCGACCAACGTCCCATCCCTACAAAATGACTCCCAAAAAAATGGACTCATTTTGTAGGGAAGGGATAGGCCAATTATACAAAATGGAGGGGGCCAAGGTCACTGATTGCTACAAAATGGGGCGCGGCCTGGAAAGGCCTACTCATTTGGTAGTGAAGATGAATGCACATGAAAATCATCAACAAAAGTCAAGAATAGTCAAGACATGTCAAGACTGTTTTTCTGACGCGCTTTTGGACGCCTGTCAAATGGCTGTACTCCCCACGAAGCCTAGGCTTAATGGCTATACTTTGATAGGTGGCTGGCTGGCTGATTCCGCCGGATACTTCTGCTGGCTGCCTACCGGCTAACTCCGCTGGATACTTTAGGTGGCTGATTCCGCCAGCCGCCGGGTACTTTTGGTGGCTGGCTGGCTGATTCCGCGGGATACTTTGCTGGCTGGCTGGCTGACTCTGCCGGATATGTGGACCCGCCTACGTGGAGCCCCCTACGTGGACTCTCTTACATGGACCCTGCTTCCCCTACGTGGAGCCCCAACGTGGACTCTCTAACATGGACTATGTGGACCCCCTGCGTGGAGCCCCCTACGTGGGGTCTCTTACGTGGACCCTGCTTATATGTGGACCCCCCTACGTGGAGCCCCAACGTGGACTCTCTTACATGGACCCTGGTTTTGTTGACCCCCTACGTGGAGCCTTCCACGTGGACTCCCTTGTGGAGGCCCCTACGTGGACTCTCTTACGTGGACCCTGCTTATGTGGACCCCCCTACGTGGAGCCCCCTACGTGGACTCTCTTACATGGACCCTGCTTATGTGGACCCCCTACGTGGAGCCCCAATGTGGACTCTCTTACATGGACCCTGCTTATGTGGACCCCCTGCGTGGAGCCCCCTACGTGGAGTCTCTTACGTGGACCCTGCTTATGTGGACCCCCTGCGTGGAGCCCCCGTGTACGTGGACTCTCTTACGTGGACCCTGCTTATGTGGACCCCCCTACGTGGATCCCTCTACGTGGACTTTCTTACGTGGACCCTTCTTATGTGGACCCCCCCTACATGGTTGGTTTCCAAAACGGCTTTTCCCAAAATGGTGCACTCATCGCAATTCCGTGGGGGCCAGCTTCTAAGTCTCCTTTAAGCTCCAACCACACTCAAAGCACAGGGATGTTAAACATTGAAGGTGTGTCAATTGCCAAAACTGTGAGAGGTGTCTAGCGCGGAGCCAAGGTCCCCACATAAGGCCCGGCAAGATCCTGCTGTTTTTTATTGTTGTGAATGATGAAGGAACTGCACATTTAAATATGCGGAGCCGCCCGTCGCCCCCAAACATACGGACAGAATAGGAATTATACACTACCTCCGGGAGGGTCAACCCTGGGCCGCCCTCCACATATTTTAATGGCGTAACCGTATAGTATTTATACATTAATATATGTAGTTATACTTTTATAATTGTTTATATATACTGACATATGCCAAATCAACAAAGACGGAGGAACACTTTGAACAGGACGGCCTGTCCAAGGCCGTGTCCGCCGGGACTTCCAGCTGATAAATACCACTGGTGGTGTTGCCAAAGTAGCTCCTGGAGTGGCTGAGCAAATGGCTTGCATAGGCTTGCTGGCCCACTCGTTGCTAGTTGGCTTCATTAAACATTTTCTGAAAAAATACAGGAAAGTGCAACAAGTCCTTTCCATTCAATTATCCTCTACACCTTCCACAATACTGACGTGACTCTTTCTTGCAGTAGCGTGACTCAATGGTGTGAGCCATGCTACTAGATCTTGGCTGAGTTTATCTGGAACTAGTGGAGCTCAACTTCTGCTGCACTTTTGGTTCCGACATTAAAAAGAACACTCCTGTAGCACATGAACCAGGCCGATGCATTGATGGAGCTGAATGGATCCAGCCTCAGCTCTGATAGATCAACTACACCAAACTAGTTCACTTGGTACCCCGATAAGCCCAGGCAGCTTGCGACAAACCATTCCACAATGGGAGTGGTGCTTAGCTTAAATACCAAAATTATACAAATTGTAAACTGTACAAGATTGAACAAGCACCATTTGAATGATGTCTTGCCATAGCTTCAAATCGAGCCTTGGGGTCAGGGATGAACCTTGAATTCCTGTCAACTCTGTCTGGGGCAACTAGCTTAGCAAACATATATTTGTACCGCGCGGACTGCAAAATACTGCAAGTCTTTTGCCTCTGGAGCAGGGGGTTTTGGACCATTCTTGGACAGTGAGAAGCCGCGGAAGCAAAGGGTCTTGCTTCAAAGCACTTGCAAAATTTTAAAATATGTTGGACTCAGCCCCCTGAAAGCAGCGCCTGCACAGTGAAAAATGGGAATGAAGCGAGTCAAAGAGTGGCATTAACAAATGGCCGAGGCGAAGGACTGATCAAGCAGCAGTCAACGCGGGCCTGTAGGGGCAGTGAGCTCACTGTGCTTGGGTATTATCCTCATCTGTACAAACTTTGGGATACACGGAGTTGCTTTTGCTCAAAAAATCCCGCATGGTCATTGTCTTCTGGTCTCGAAGGCAATGTAAATAGTCAACCACAGGTCTTGCTTCAGGACAGCGCTCTGCAAAGTCCACAGCTGTTCGGCCACAAGAGGTCTTTTGTTCAACATCGGCACCGTGATCCACTAACATGCGCACGAGCCGGCACTTTCCAAGCAATGCAGCAACATGAATGGGATAGACCACTTCCTCTTCTAAGAGAAATGAATCATTCACATCTTGGAATTTGTTCCTTTCCAGAAAACTCCGGAGTTGGGCTAAATGCCGCTGCTTCCTCTTCCATCGACCAAATCGACCACTATGCGATGGCTCGCCCGGTGGCAGGGGAGCAATGCAAAGATCGCCTATGTCCACTTCAACGTTTGGAGCGCAAACGCAGGCATCTGAGAAGAACAGGGGAGGTGGCACCGTGGCCGTGATTTGCAGGCTGCCAATGTTCATGTGGGATGCGGCTCGGGGCTCAGGTTTTCTGAGTTGAGCCAAAACACCTGAAGGCCGCTCAATAACTTGATGCAAGAAACCAACATATTAAATACCACTTAGGAGGACTCTGTAGAAAGATCCTTATCTGTCACAGCCCGGATCAAAGACCGGGGCAACGACGAGACCGAGAGTCAAGCTGAACCACCATGGTTGTCTCATCAAGGAGTTCATCCAAGAAACATGGATAGTCGTCGTTGTGGTTGATCCCAGCCGCTGATGTTTTCCATATCCTTACGTCACCCCAGCTCGAAAATCAAGAAAGCAGGTCAAAGCAATATGGCAACAGGCAAAGAGACTCTTGGCTACGCTATCTAGCACCCTACAAATATGAGTGCCCAGATGTGCCCAGTGTTCATTATTCATGAGTGGTTTATAGTGGTTTTACATTGACAGAAACTACACCCAATGCTTCTGTACGCAAATGCCCCAAGCACCCTAATTACCCGCTGCACCAATCCAAATATTGACTGGGATACATCTGACCGTGGCACTCTATATGACTTGCCCGAGGCTCATTTCCGCCTTGCGATCCAGGCATGGGCAAGGAAGTGGTTGAGGGCATCCCCTCGGCATCAAAAGATTGCATCTTCCTCTTCAGTGTCTATTGCTGAAAGGAAGTGCAAAGATCTCCGAAGATGCCAAGTCTGAGGAGAAGAAAACACAAGACATCTTCCTCTTTTGGACGGCGCCGGAGATGGATGTTTTTTGTTTTATGTTTCTTTTTAAGACCTGGTAAGTGGGAGGCTGCCTTCTGCCACCAAAGGCCAAGAGAACCCCAGCTGCAGCATCTTGAGCTCTTGCAATTTCCCCTTTCTTCTTTATAATGAGTTGCGGGCTAGAACGGAAAGCGCCTGCTCGTCACTGTCATCAGGCCAGGTAGTGGTAGAGGTATCCTGAATAGGCGATCAGTGAACAAACACTGTTGAGAGAGGCCCGGTGCACAAACATTATTGAAAGCAGCTGCCTGAGAAAGTCGGAAGTACAGGGAAAACAAGCTGAAGAGCACGAATTGATCAGCACAACAGAAAGGCTGCGATCACGGCACACGCACAAACACGAAAAG